TCACCCATTGTACCACTTTTAGGATAAGGCAATATTTGAGTACCACCAGTCGCCTAGCAAGGTGTCAAAAACTTCCTCCTGTCCAAGGTTTCCATTGTTGTGAGCATTTCTGTTGAAGATTGGCAGCAGGGGTTGGGTGGGGGGGTGTTTGGTTTTTATTCCCCCCGTCTGCTGGGTGGTTGCAGCAGTTTTTGGTCACTTCACATGACCCTGGAACACTGTGACCGTCATAAATATGAATCAGTTGCCAAGCATCTGAATGTAAATCACAAGACCCTGGAGATGCTGCAACATTCCAGCTGATCAGCGCTTCTTCTGGGCTCAGCAGAAGCGCCAGGATTAGCGCCGAGTTCCAGCTGGAGCCTGGCACTGATCCTGGCACTTTCACTGAGCCCTGACAGTCCCAAAGAAGCGCCGATCAGATGGAAAGCGGCACTGATCCTGGCGCTTCCGCTGAGCCCTGACAGCCCTGCAGCTCAGCCATCTCTCGCTCAGGTTTGTGCGGTGCTGCCACCGGTTCAGCTCATTCCCCTCCCCCGCTACCACTTTTCTAGGATGGTCACATACCACCTGCCAGGTGCCAATGTACCACAGATGGTACCTGTACCACTGGTTGAAAAGCCCTGCTCTAGGCCAGACAAGGACAAATTGCCAGGCCCTTGAGCAAGTTAGCTCAGATTGGGAGGACAGCATTGATATTTCAAAGCAGGGTCTTTCCAGAACTTACTAGGGAGTAAACCTAGCCTTGAACCTATTTGCATTCAATAGATGCTTTCTACCTCTCGGTTCCAATGGAATTAGGCTTTCTGTCTTCTATCGCACTGGATACAGTTTTTTCATGATGCCTTATTCTCCTCTGTTATATGGGTTTCCATAGCAAGATAATCCTACTATTTAACACTCTTATATTTCCTCCTTATCAGACTGGTTTCTATAAAAATTCTTTACAATCCATCTATAACATTCAGATGTGCCAGTTTATCTCAGACACCAAGAGCAATCCCTACTCCTCGGCACAGAGGGCTAATTCTAAGGTCACATGAATCTGTTTACCTCTACATAAAAATGGACAAGGACAGAATTGCTGCCAGGGACTCTGTTTCTCTTTTAGTACTTTCAGAACATGCAGCTATTTAACAGGGATGCCTCTCTTTTCTATAGTCCATGCTCCAGGTTATAATGGTCTCTTTTAGACTTCTGGATCTTGGAAAAAGGTAGTGGTGGAAGTAAATTAAAAATACAAACCTACAACATCCTTCCTTAATTTGCTGCTTTTCAGATGCATTGGGAATAGAAGTCCCAGAATTTCCAGTCATGATTGTAATCAATAGGCAAAAGAGCCAGGCAGTTGGTCTGATTGATGAAAAGGTTTTATCTTACTTGAATTGTTAATCTTCATGATGCAAATGAAGTACTGTTCACCTTAATCTATCCAATTTCTAGTCTTTGTGTGAGTAATCCTAGATTTTCTAATTTAATTGTAAGTACTGTTCATCAGAGTCTAGTCTTTGTGTGAGTAATCCTAGATTTTCTGATTTAATTGTAAATGACAAAGAGGAAGGAAGGAAGGAAGGAAGGAAGGAAGGAAGGAAGGAAGGAAGGAAGGAAGGAGGGAGGGATGGATCTTGGTTCTTGCAATCGGTGTATTTCAAAAAAGTAAAAAGTAGAAAAAGCAATATAATCTGTCTCATTTTATTTCTGTTTGGTCCAAACTATATCATTCATACCATTTTCTCTTATGATTTGTTGTTAACAGACATTCTTGTTTGTTTTTAGTACTTTCCATCTGCCAAGACACATTGTTCCTTTTCTTTTTCTGCTCAAAGTCTCTGGAGGAAAGAAAGGAATGCCTTCAAACTGGATTTTCCAAATTCTGTTCAAAATGTAGCTTTCCATGGTTCCAAACTTTTGCCATCCCCAAACCAAAACTAATAAGGGAAGTATCCCAATTCCTAATGGGTGGTTTATTTTGGCTTCCCTTATCCAAGAACAGTCACCATTGTGTGGCATGGAACAGAAACAAATAAAAAGTTCCCTGTTTTCATTCTGCTGAGGGTAGAAATGGAAACTGTACTGGGGAAGTTAACTGAGACATTGCTTGAATATTCATTGGTTAAACCAGGGTAGAGCAACTTCCAAAGTAGGAGGGCAGGATGGCAGTGGGTGAGGCAATGATAGTGCCTGCCAAATCAAGACAATGAGAAACAATCTCATTCATTTTAGGCAACTGTAAAAAAAAAAGGGGGGGGGGTAGGAACAGCCTAGAAGGATTTGAGGTGGGCCACATAAAGCTCTGGGACCTCATGTTGCTAATGCCTTGATTAAGCCTTTGCAAATGTACAAGGTACCGTGATCAAGAAAGGTCATTATGTCCCAGTTGCCCTCCAAGCTTATGGTAGCCACTGTCTTTTTCAGTAACTGTGAAAATTGGCACCAAATTAAGGCCCTGCCTGTGAAAGGTACAATTCCATGCCACAATATTTCACAGGGATGGGCTCACCTGGAGCCATGTCAGGGGTGGAACAACAGCAAAGTTATAGGCAGAGTGCTGAACACAGAATCCTCTTTGGCATTGGATGCATATATCAAATGCAGCAGTCTTAGTTTCAAATCAAAGTATGATGTCTGCTTCTTGTGGAGTGGGAGGGAATCTGCTTTGATAGCTTTCTGTCCATCAAATCCACTGATATCCCTAAGGGGACTCAGACCTACCACAAGTTGCAGATTCAAGACCTTTGATTTTTTCTCTCTCTGTAATTACCTCCATCTCTGCTAAATCTTTCTCTCTGATCTCCTCCACACAAGTTCCCTATCTTGCCATAAAAACACACAAAAGGCAGTGAAAACTTCCAAACATGATGAAAATCAATCTCTCTCTCTTCTCTCTCCCTCTTTCTCTGCATGTATCTTTGTGTGTGTGTGCGCGCGTGTGTGCACGCACGCGCACATATGTGTGTTTGTGAGGTGGGAGAAAATTTTTTTCACAGTTCTTACATATCTGGAAGGTATCAAGCTGGGTTAGGGTTAGGCTGCTAGAGTCTGTTACTATTCTTATATATACACACATTCAAACTCATGCAAATGTTGCTTTGGAAAAATAGTGATTAAAAAAAGCAGATAACAACCTTCATACAGTATAGATATTCACACACTTATCTAAGATGGTAGAGGACAGGAAGGCCTGGAGGAACGTTGTCCATGGGGTTGCGATGGGTCAGACACGACTGCGCAACTAACAACAACAACACTTATCTATTCAACATTTCTCATAAAGAGTTAGAAAACCCCTAACATAGAGGGACATAACATTTTCTGGATCATGGAGTGTACTTTTGAATGCTGTGCTGGAATATATTCAAGAATTAATGGAAGGGACCAGGCAAAAGGTAAACACAATTTCAATTCATTTACAAGTACATTTAGATACACACGTACCTAAAATAGAACTCATATTATTCCTCTAGGTAATAATTTTCCACTTTCTCATATTGAAAATTAGGACTAGAATTTTGAAAGTTTCGGGGGGGGGGCACATGCAATTCTCAGGGTTCAAGCTGTGCACTTCTCTACTAACCTACTGAAATTGTACATCTGTGTGTGCATGTTTAATATTTTGCTGGTGTGCCAAGCTTATGAAAAGAATCTACACTGTGAAGCTAGATGGTAGAGTACTTTCATATATTCACTAGTTCAGGGCTTTTCAACCAGTGGTACGGGTACCACCTGCGGTACATTGGCACCTGGCAGGTGGTACGCGACCATCCTAGAAAAGTGGTAGTGGGGGAGAGGAATGAACTGAACCGGTAGCAGCACCGCACAAACCTGAGCAAGAGATGGCTGGAGCTGCAGGGCTGTCAGGGCTCAGCGGACGCGCCAGGATCAGCACCAGGATCCATCTGGAGCTCGGCGCTGATCTTGTTGCTTCTGCTGAGCCCAGAAGAAATGCCGGTCAGCTGGAATGTTGCGGCATCTTCAGGGTCTTGTGATTTACATTCAGATGCTTGGCAACTGATTCATATTTATGACGGTCACAGTGTCCCAGGGTCATGTGAAGTGACCAAAACCTGCTGCAACCACCCAGCAGACGGGGGGAATAAAAACCAAACACTCCCCCACCCCACCCCCACTGCCAATCCTCAACAGAAACGCTCACAACAATGAAAACCTCGGACAGGAGGAAGAGCGTGGCTGGGCGGGCAGGCAGGTGCCTTGCTCGGCTGTGCTTGGGGGGGGGCACTTTTTTCAGTGCCATTGTAACTTCAAACAGTCACTAAGCAAACTGTTGTAAATCGAGGACTACCTGTACTTTATCACTTTTTTCCTTTTGGGGGGGGGAATCATCAAGTTTTTGACACCTTGCTAGGTGACTGGTGGTACTCGGTTGTTGCCATATCCTAAAAGTGGTACAATGGGTGAAAAGGTTGAAAAGCCCTGCACTAGTTAATACACCTCTCAGAATACTGAGTTTACACCTATAAGAGAAGAAGGTCAGCATTTATACTTTAGCTCACTAGTACAGCTAAAATGTACATTTGGTAAATTGTAGCATACTGTAGGTTTAAAAGCACCTGTGATGACCCTTTCCTTTTATACAGGTGACATAAGATAAAACAGAACTATTTCCTAGTCCCTGGAATGCTGGTACCCTGTCATCTCACGTTCTGGGATATCTTTAGGTGATCCTTAAAGAGGATTCTCACAAGGTTATTTTTATCCCGTTCCTCTTTGTAATGGCCCTGCTTTTTTTAAAGATAGTGTGTTACTAGGAAAGAAAATATAGGGCAAATATGGGACTAAAAATCTAGTGACCTTTGCCAGCATGGAGGCAGGGATACATCACTTAATAGGGAAGCCAGAAGGAGCAAGAAATAAATGGAATGATGGAAAACGTGGAAGTGAAGACCTACTGGTTTCGGGGTTTGAAAACATCAAGACAAAACACACAAAAGCCCTACAAGGCAATGCACAAATGAAAATAGAGTTTAGCTTGTGAATCTTACTTATGATCAGGCAGATAATACAGGTATGCAGTGCCCAGTACAAGGCAAACAGATACTCCAAAGAAGAAGGCAGCACGCATATTCAGCACATCAACAGCAGGATCTTCATTGAAGCCATGAAAGTCTGGATTCTGAAATGTAAAAAACACAAAATGCAGTTAGTTTACAGCTGCACAAAGTGTATTCAACATATGCCCTTTGATATTTTCCCTTAAAGTTCACTTTCATGTATACCCTAAACCTCCCCATCAAAAGAAAAATAGCACCGCTAATCCAACACTAATAATGAAAATGGCATCTTCTTTTATTTTAGGGCTAGCAGCCATTCTAATGACAAAGCCATGGAGGTTTCTATCCTTAAGTAAGGTTCTATCTGCATCAACAAAAGTTGAGGGTCATCTTCTCCCATTTATAAAAATAGGAATTTCAAAAAGAGAACAGTCTTAAAAATTCGAAATCCACATGTGAAGCAATGGGAGACACGGAAAATAATGTCAGTTATCACCTGTCTTCAAAATCTTTCTCTCACCTGCTTACTTCAACAAAGATTCAACTAAGGAGGTATGTGTGTGATGTTTATGTGTGCTATTTCACACCAATAACTTTGCAAACTGATTCCATTAAACATTTGCTAAGGCACAAAAATGAAATGTTTTTTTGGGGGAAAAAACCAGTTCTAAACTAGAAGGGTATGGATCTGACCTCCGGGCTCAGCAGAGACCTCAGTTCCATTACGCATCACTTTTTTCCTAATATAGTATTCAACACACTTGAAGCCACTTTGCTAAGACTAGAAGCCAGATGGGGAAAAGGGGAACAAAACGAATGCTGCCAAAAATCTTACCCCAGCTGTGCAAAAAGGAAAAGGTGAAAATTACTAAAATATACACTAGTGGAGACCAACTGTTAGTAGGGAGGGAGAGTCAAGTATGAACTTCAAGCATTTTCTGGACTAGACAGGTGCATTTGTGTGCACCTAGATTCTCTTTTTATAAAAATGTCCCAGGAAAAAGGACATCGGTGCACATGATGTTTATGATACAATTGCTTCCAAACTTCTTGTCCTCCTTGTCTTCCTAGAATTGTGTACAGCCGTTCTAAGTCTCAGACTCTGCTGGTGTCCAACCTGCCCTTTTCTTCATAAAAGAACCTCTTCCACCCTGGCATCATGAACTTGAACAGAAGCACAGAGGATGCTTTTGGAGATGCCTTATGTCCCCCCAGCTGTTGCTTCAGCAACAAAAGAAAAAGAGCTTATATCTTTGCCCAGAGGCAGGCTGGTCACTAAAGAAACACACACACACACACACACACACACATATACACATACTGAATGAAGCAACACAATGCCCTATTCAAAAAGGTGAGGATAGCCAATGATGCAAGCTACCACGGTTTGTCAACTGTGGAAATCAGCAGCCACTTCTGGGGTTTCATTTTTATTTTATTTTTTAAAAAAGGCAGATGCAAAGGCTTAAAGAAACACACCCACAGAGCAACCCACAGGTACGAGGAAGCCAACTGCAGGGACACTGTGGAAAGAAATGCTCTGAGAAATGTTTTTTCCTTGAAATTGCAGGTGCTAAAGCAAAAGAGGTCCAGCTCAAACTAGGTAGAAAATAACAATAACATTTCTAGTGACTAGCACAATTTGAATTGTAAGCTGGAACAAAGGGGGAAGGGAATCATACTCAACTGTTTGAAAGTCTATGGTACTGACCCGAAGGGCTATAGTTTGAAAAACAGTAAAAGATTATATAGCATGCAGCTTAGATTATTAAAATGTAAGCAAGATTTTAGAGCCAAAGCAATGCTATTAGTATTTCAAATTTTGCTTCAGTCATCCAAATATCCTTTCTCGGTGCAGTACTGTAACATGAGGCAATAAATAAAATATATGCATTCATTTATAGAAATTTTCATATATATTATTGCTGTGACTGTAGCACAGCAATATAATCTACTCACTGCAAGAACAAATGGGCTAGTCAGAGCTACATGACTGAGAGGAGATTTAAAGCAAGAAAGCATGAGACGAGGGCTTTGAACTAGAAGCAAGCCTATTTCTCTGATAGTAAATTGAAAGATGGTATATACCTCCTAGCATTCAACCTTGCAGAAACCAGGACACCTTTGAGGTGGGCAGTCCACTCATTTCTCAAACACAGGAGCAGGAGCCTGTACTTCTGAGTTTATCACTGCCTGTTTACGCATTGACATTTGGGGTTTTATTTTCTCTTATTGCCATCACACAGCACCAAAAGGGGAAATAAAAGGAATTTCAGAAGGCTAATAAAAAAAACCTGTAGAGCTGCAATCTCATTCAGCTGTTGCTTGGATACCCCCTTTTGCCCAGTTCTAAGCGCCCGGGGTTGTGAAGGACAAATCTAAGAGTTTGGGTGCTGGGAGGGGCAGAACAGCAGCCTTCAAAATGAGTAAAATTCTCTTGCAGCAGCCCTGCCTGCCTTCACTTGGGACACACTCTTGTTTTCTCTGCTTCCTTGGAACCACAGGGAAGCCAATGGGCATGCACAAAAGCCAAGGTTCATGGGAATGCTGAACTAACCCTCAAGAATTCTGTCCGGGCATGGTGGGGATGAGATAACTAGCTGGTTAGAGAGCCAGTCCTGATTATGGAGTTAGGCTGTGCCACCACCCATACTCTCCACCTCCACTGCTATGCCACACACAGCAGGGATTCCTTATTCCTTCGCCTACTTAACTGGTTGAGGCTGAGTCACAGCAAGCCTCCCTTTGAATAGACTTTTCCCTCCTCCCTTTTTCCTAGCTGAGCTGGGACAATTCAATTTGGGGAGGGGAGGGGAAGGGAAGGGAAGGGAGAGAAACCTGACATGGCAATTTTATAAAAACTGCTTAGAACGGCTTGTTCCTGACCACTTACGGTAGTCAAAGTGCAGTCCCTAACCCTGAAACCTCTGCCCAACCCCTATTTTCATTACGATAAATAGAAAGAAGGGCACTATAATCTTATGATACAAAAGTGCTTAGGATTGCTTTCTGCTCATTATGCCCCACATCCAAAGTAATATATAAAGTTCTGTAATATTTTTTTAGTTTCCTTTTTCGGATATGACCCCGGCGCTTTGCGTCAAAACACGTTGCCACCCTGACAGAAAGAAATAATACAAAGGCAATGTTTTCTTTTGGGAAGACACAATTGCAAGTTTTTTTTTCCCCAAAATGCTTCACATATACATTTTTAGCTGAACCATAAACCTTATGGTTTTCTTCTCCTACCCTCAAATATGGCAACATACATGGCAAGGCCAAAGCCAACAGGAATTATTTCATTCTTTAAGAGCTTAAACAAATACGGCATACTCCATTTAATCCTCCAGGGAAAGACTGAAGGCAAACGAGGTCCAGGCAGAAGAAGAACATCGTGGCTTCAAAATCTAAGGGATTGGTTTGGACAAAACTCAGCAGCACTTTTTCGTGCGGCTACTGATAAAAACATGATCGCCAAC